TCTCCAGCAAGCCAGGCAGACAAGAAAACAGTGCCATGCTCTTGGACCCCAAACTACTACCTAAACAAACCCCTTCTGTTTATATATTTCCCATCTTCAACTCTTGTCACTTTGGGGCCTTGAGCAGGCTAGGCAGCTGCTTTACCACTGAGCTGCTCCCCAGCCCTGCTTCAGGGGCGTTGTTATGCCAACGGGAAGCAGTCTAATAGAAAACCTCTCTCTCGCTCTCTCTTTTTTTTTTTTTTTTTGTGGTGCTGGGGCTTGAACTCAGGGCCTACACCTCCAGCCACTCCACCAGCCCTTTTTGTGATTTTTTTTTTTTTCAAGATAAGGCTTCATGAACTATTTGCCTGGGCTGGTTTCAAACTGCGATCCTGCTGATCTCTGCCTCCTGAGTAGCTGGGATTACAGGAGTGAGCCACCAGCACCTGACCGGCCACACCTCTCATTCTTAAAACGTATTTTGACTATTTCTTTAGAAATACTTACCTGGGTGTGGCTGTGCACATCTGTTGTCTTAGCAACTCAGGAGGCAGAGGCTGGAGGACCTCCACTTCGAGGTCAGCCTGGGCAAAAGTTAGTGAGAATCTGTCTGAAAAGCAAATAAAAAACAAACTAAGGCCCAGGATCTCTGGCCCAGAACCAGAGAGAGAGAGAGAGAGAGAGAGAGAGAGAGAGAAATAATTGTTCAAATTTATGAAAAAAGTTGCAAGCTAACTAATAGCAAAAAGAATGTTCATGTAGTTTTGATAAATTTTACCAAATTTACTTTATCATTTACTGTTTCTTTCTCTACTATGTGTTTTCTGAACATTTGAGGCCTGTGAATACTTTAGTGTGTTTTTTCTTTCTCTTCTCTCTCTTTTTTTTTTTTTTTTTTGTTTATTTTGGCAGCACTGGGGTTTGAACTCAGGTCCTCAAGCTTGCTAGTAGGCAGGCTCTCTACCACTTGAGCCACTCCACCCGCCTTTATAGAATTATTTTGAAACAAAACTCTAGCTATGGTATCATTTTGATTCATGATTCTTCTTTTGAGATCGGGCCTCAGTATGTTTTCCCAGCTGGTCTCAAACTCCTGGCTGCAAGTTGATCTTTTTGACCCAGCCTGCGGAGTGGCTGGGACTACAGGTGCACACTACAGCTCCCACCATTCATGTTTTGTTTTGTTTAAAGGCACTGGGGTTTGAACTCAGGTCTTCACACTTGCAAAACAGGCACTTTACCACTTGAGCCACACCTCCAGTCCATTTTACGTTATCTTGGAGATGGAGATCTCATAAATTATTTGTCCTGGCTAGCCTCGAACCGAGATCCTGTGGATCATAGACTCTCAAGTCGTTAGAATTATAGACGTGAGCCACGGGTGGATGTCATGGTTATTTTGAATGGCTCAGAAAATGACTCTGGGGCCAGACTGCCTAAGTTTGATTCAGGCTTTGCCACTTTGTAGCTGTGTGACATCAAGTAGGGCTGATGTGATGATTAAATGACGTGATCGATATGTTCAAAGTATCACAGTTCTGGGTGCATAGAGTTATTTAAGTCGGGCGCCAGTGGCTCACATCGGTAATCCTAGCTACTCAGGAGGTAGAGATCAGGAGGATCGCGGTTCGAAGCAAGCCTGGGCAAGTAGTAGTAGTATCTGGAAAAAACAAAAAAATCACAAAAAAGTTCTGGTGGAGTGACTCAAGTGGTAGAGTGTCTGCCTAGCAAGCATGAGGCCCTGAGTTCAACCCCTTCCCTCCAAAAAAAAAAAAAGAGTCGTTAATATTATTTAGATGTGACGACAGTGACCACGACATTGAGGACCCCATCCTGTAGATCAAAAAGAGGCTGTCAGGAGCTCTGCGCTTGCTGATTGGCGGTACGGTTGTCGGCCACTAGGGAGCGCAGCGGGGGATGGGATGCACCAACGCGTGGTGACCAGCAGGGGACGCTGTGTCTCTGGTCCCGCGGGCACAGTGACCAGCTGGACTATTTCCCTTTGGACATTCCACAGGAGAACGCGTCGATCCCGGCCAGCGCCAAAAGCCCCAGGGCCAGGGCTGGGGACTAGTGCGGGGGACGTGGGCAGGAGAGAAACTGCATCCTTGGCGCAACCTCCAGGCCCTGCGGTGGTGAGAGGGATGTGTGTGGTTCCCAGACGACAGCTGCCTTCTCTGCCCCAGGAGCTGAAAATTCCAACACTTTTGGCCACCCCTGTCCCATTCGTGGGACATCTATACAGCAAGGTGGTTGGGGAAGGGTGAGGGGATGGGATGTCCTCAGGAGCTCCCCAGGAAAGGAATGGAAATATTTGGAAATTGCCTGCAACATTTTGGTTTTCCTTCTATGAATGTCTTCGCTGTACATCTTGTCACGTGTGTCCGTGTGTCTGTGTTCCCAACTGGAGTTTCACGAGGGTACACCTCCCTCCCTTTTTTCTCCTGTTTTTGGTGGTGTTGGGAGGGACGCAGGGCCTTGCACTTAAACCTGCCCTCAGCCCCTTTGCTTTGTTATTTTTGAGATAGGGTCTTGAATTTTTATCTGGGATGCCCGGACCTGGAACCTCCTATTAATGCCTTCTGGATAGCTTGGATGATAGACCCACCCTGTTTATTGATTGAGACGAGGTCTCACCAACTTTTTGCCTGGGCTGACTTTGAACCGTGATCTTCCCAATTTCTGCCTCTAGAGCAGCTGGGATTACAGATGTGGACTCGTCCTAGGATTTCTTTTCTTTTCTTCCTTGCTTTTTTTTTTTAAAACTCAGGGCCTTGTACTTGCTAGGCAGGTGCTCTACCGCTTGAGCCATGCCCCCAGCCCACCCTGAGATGTCTTCTTAAGCACCTGAAATGTCACCAGCATTGTCTAGGACCTTTTTTACCCATAGGCCTTTGCAAATGCTGCTCTTGCCACCTGGACCACGATCCTCCACTACTTTGTCTAGCTCATTCGCCATTCAGGTCTCAGCCTAGACATCTCCACGATGGAGATGCTGCCTAGCGCCCACCCCAGGGACTGGGCTAAAGTTTCTATTCCCGACACTCACAAGCAAGTATCATGGAAAATATTCACTGAGCACCAGTGGCTCACGCCTGTCATCCAAACTACTCAGGAGGTTGAGATCAGGAGGATCACAGTTTGAAACCAACCCAGGGCAAATAGTTCAAGAGACCCTATCTTGAAAGCCCATCACAAACACACAAAAAAAGGCTGGTGGAGTAGCTCAAGGTGTAGGCCCTGAGTTCAAACCCCAGTACCACACACACACACACACACACAAAATCTAAAAAGTAAGAAAGAAAAAGAACAAGATCTCGTCATATGCCCTCACCATCTGACTGATTGCCAAAGAACTCAGGATTTCCTGGAGGCCCAGAGTCATAGCAGTGACTGAGCACTTGCAAGTGAAATCTGAGCACTTGACATGTACAACAATTCGTTTAACTGTCACCAACAGTCCTACAGAGCAGGCACTGTTAGTCTGGGGCACAGAGGCTGTCAGGAGTGTTTCCCCACCCCAAGCTTTGGAGGTGGGCGGAAGACAGATCAAGAAGGAGCAACCTGGGCTGGCAGAGTGGCTCAAGTGGTAGAGTGCCTGCCTCGCAAGCGTGAGGTCCTGAGTTCAAACCCCTGTGCTGCCAAAAAAATTTTAAAAGGAGCATCCTGGGCTAGGTGAGGTAGTGCACACCTGTAATCCCAGCTACTCAGGAGGCAGGGTAGGATGGTCTAGGTCTGAGATTGGCTGGGGAAAAGTGAGAAATCCTATCTGAAAAAATAACTAATACAAAAAAGGGCTGGGGACATGGTTCAAGTGGTGCAGCGCCTGCCTAGCAGGCAGGAGACCCTGTAGTTCAAACCCCAGTACCACCAATATTATATATATATATATATATATATATATATATATATACATTGTTATATACTAGATATGTATTATTTAAAATTATATACAAATTATTATTTAAAATAGGAAGGTTACCCTTGCTGTTCCACCCCATCCCTTAAGCAGAATGTCAATTCTTGTGCTTTTTGTGATTTTCTTATCCTGCTTCTGGGCCCCTTTAACATCATTTGCGGGGTCCCTGAAACATTTAGGGTGAGACACTCACAGGTTGGTAACGAATGACTCAGATGAGAGTGGTAGTACATACCTGTAATTCCAGCACTTAGGAGACTGAGGCAGGAGAATGGTGAATTGGAGGCCAGCTTGGTCTACATATGGAGACCCCATATCAAAACAACGCACAATCACACACAGTTCATTCCTACCTCCACTCATTCCTGCATAGGCCCCTGGGCCAGCACTGTGTATCCCTACTGTCCGCAGCCAATTTCCAGCTGGGATGGTTTGGGTCCACCGCCCAGGGAGTCCTGTCCCCTGCCTGCACCCAACTTGTCCCAGGATGACTTAATACATCTTTAAGAAGCAGAGAAAATCTGGGGCCACCTCCAGATAAGAAAGGAGGGACCACTAGAGCAGTGTCAGAGGCTGCCCCTTTCTCTCCCATCCTAAGGCCTCACACAGGGAAGAGTAGACTCCCCCAAGAGGGTCTACAGTAGTAGCTGCTAAAAATCTTGAAATTTCTCTTGAGATTAGAAACTGAAACAAAGAGAAAAGAGGAAGACACCCAGAGAGATGCAAAGACAGAAAGTCACAGAGAACTGGGCAGAGAAAATGAAGCAGACAAGACAGGAGGAGATAGGCAGAGGCCAAGAGGGACAAAGACACGTCACAGAAATTAAGAGTCAGACATGGAATCAGGAACAATGTGTGTGTATAAAAGAGAGAGGGGGATTTAGTGATGAGAGAGAGATTGAGATTTATTTAGTGACTCAGAGAAGAAACTCTGGAACCAGATTTTGAGGCGAAAAAAAGGCATGCTGGGTGTAGCACTGCACAACTGTAATCCCAGCACTTGGGAGGTTAAGGAGGATCACTAGTTACACAGCGAGAATCTGCACCAAAAAAAGAACAAAAGCTAGAGAGAGAGAGGCAGGCAGAGGCAAAGGTACAAAATAGGCGTTTTTAATTGAAAATTTTATAAAAGGAAGGGAAGGGGGTCAAGGGGGTCAAGGGCGAGGCCAGGTCCGGGCGCGGCGGGAGGGCAGGGCGGGGCAGCAGTGAAAGGCGCGGGTCTTTGGGTCAGTCCATCCATCCTCTGTCGGTGGAGTCCCTGTGCGCACGCGCAGGAGCGGGCAGCCGGCGCGCGCCGCAGGGCCCCGTGCGCAGGTGCGGTGGGGGGCGGGCACGCGCGCTCAGGCCCGGGGCCGCGCGGGCGCGCAGTGGTGCGGCTGGTGCGTGGGCGCGAATCCCGGGCGGCAGACGCAGCGGAAGGAGCCGTCCGTGTTGACGCAGCGCGCGTTCACGCAGAGCGGGGAGGTCGCCTCCGCCTCGTCACACTCGTTGATGTCTGGGGAGGGGGATGGCGGATTGCTGCTTAAGCCTGGGGACCCACAAGCCCTCCTCCCTTGGTCCCTTGGCCTCGTGGGGCCGAGGAGCACGCATATGGAGCCTCTCTTCTGGAGTCGAACTCAGCCACCTGCTGGCTGTGTGAGTCCAGGCAGGTGGCTTCATTTTTGTATTCTGTAAGGTGGGTACGGAAGCCCCTATGTCACTAGGCTTTTGATAGGGAAATAATAGCGTTATTGATAAACAGTAAACACTTACCCTCCACCAGACATTATTGCAAGTCCATGACCTGTGTTAACTTTATCTTCCTAGTATCCCTAGGAGGCCCAGCAGGGGAAAGCCCCTAGCCTGATGTCACACAGCAAGCCCACCCCGGGCAGCAGGTCCTCTGGGCAGCTGTCCCAAGTTTCTAGGTGCCCAGCCCCCGCTACTCTTCCCCCCACTCTCCTCCCCACCCCCACCCCGCCCGTGGGACTGGGGTTTGAACTCAGGGCTTTGAACTTGCAAAGCAGGCGCTTTGCCACTTGAGCCACACCTCCAGTCCATTTTGCTCTGCTTATTTTGTAGATATGATCTTGCAAACTATTTGTCCAGTACTGGCCTTGGACTGGGATCCTCCTAATCTCAGCCTCCCTAGTAGCTAGGATTACAGGCATGAACCACCAACACCTGCAGCCCCCCCCCCCCATACACACATATACACACACTTCTTGGCCGTAAGATCTCAGGATTAATTTCTCCCACAGGACTCAGTGTTGTAGATCTGTGTTAATGGTGCTCAGAACTCTGTGAAAGGGGTTCTTTGAATATGCCCACTTTTAGATAAGAAAAGCTAAGCAAAACACCCCGTGATCTAGCCAAGATCACAGGGCAACTGGCTGACTGAGCCCGAAGTCTATCCGACTGCTCCAGAGTTCTTAATTGTAATCACTTGATTCAGACATGATTAATATTCCCATTTTGTGGATGGGAAGACTGAGGTTTTCCAAAGAGGTCAATGCAAATTGTCCAAGGTAGCACTGGGAGTCTTTAGAATTCACATCTGCAGGATTCTACCCCTGCAGATGGACCAGCCCTGCTCTGTTACCCCGCCTTCTTCAGCCCCACCCCTGAGCAATCACTCCCTCCGGGCTGGCTGACGCAGGGTAGCTAAGTCCTTTCCCAGTCCCTGGCCATTCTCACTGGTAAGCCCCAACTCTGCCCGCCTCTCACCGACGCAGGCCATGCGGGTTATGTCCAGGCGATAGCCGTCGAAGCAGTCACAGGTGAAGCCTTCAGGGACACGCACACAGCGGCCGTGCGCACAGCCATCCAGGATCCCGCACTCTTCCGCCTCCAGCCCTTCGTAGGGCTCAGACAGGGCACCTGCACAGAACGGGGAGCTGGTGACTCAAGACCTCTGCCTTCTGTCCCTTCATTCCACCCCGCCCCCACCGCTTTCAGCGTCCTTGCCTGGTTCCCTTGGGCGCCCTGAGTCTCACTCTAAGCGGTCCCTCCCACTTCAGGGCCGCAGGAGGCGCCGTGGGGCCAGGAGGTCCACCCTGATCAACTCTCCCTAGCTTTCCCTGTCCCCCGTCTCTCTCTGTGGGTCTACAGGTAATTTTCTGGTCTTATGCATTGTGGCTCTGCTGTCCGCTGCTCGGATTTTATGTGCTTCCCCCATCTCTAACTCTGTCCTGCCTTCCTTTCCTCTCTCCAGCCCTCCCCCGCTTTCTGTGTCATCTCAGTGTGTAACTGGGCTGCGGTACTCACCTGCATAGCCTCCACCTTCATTAGACTCCTCAGACTCTGGGAAGGAGCCACGAGTGTCGCGGGACCGATAGGGCCAGCCAGTGCCCCGGCCGGAAGGGGCAGGAGCCTCAGATTCAACATACGGGCCACCATCGTCCTCAAAGTCAGGCATGTCGAAGGGTGGTGCCCCATATGGGGCCTCCCGGCGGGCAAAAGGCCCAGGTGGTGGTGGGTAAGGGTCGTAGGGTAACACAGGTGGAGCATACAACTCAGGCCCATAGGGAAGGCCCTGGTAAGGTGGGCCTATGTCTGGGCCATATTCATAGGGGAGTCCAAAGCCACCTGGCCGTGGGGGACCATATGCAGGGGGACGCAGCACATTGCACAGGGCCTCGAAGTCATCTGTGAACAGGAAACAAGCCACACAGTTAGAACCATAGGTGTCCCCTCCACCATCCCGCACTGGGAAGAGAAATCCAGAGAGGATTAGGGAGGGGCTTGACTGAAGCCTGGAGCAGGAGAGGCTTGAGAGGGGCTGGCTTTGGAGGAGCAAGATACGAGGTTTCTGAAACCAGGATTGAGATTCTGGGGGCTGATGCAGGGGTCCTGAAGACCGCAGCTAAGAATCAAAGTCCAAGGGGCTAGAGTTTCTGGGGGCCCATGGGAGAGGACTAGGAACTTGAAGAAATAAGATTAGGGTATTTTATATGCCAGAACAGCTGAGGATTCAGGACTAGAATGTTTGGGCCTGGAGTCCCAAGGACTGAGGATTAGGTCCTCAGATCTCTGGGGCTATCTCAGGTCTTGGGCACGTGGACTGTCTGCCCAACACAAGGGAACTTGGTCTGTGGGGCTATGACCAGAGAGTCTGTGGGCCAGCATGAGGTCTGAGGGTCCCAGATTGGGAAAGGGCATCTCATAGGCTGGATCTTTGGGTTTAGAGACCAGGATGGAGGGGACCAGAGACTGGACTTCAGGAGCCTATGGGGCTGGAAATACGGGCTCTGCTGAGTCCACCCTGGGATTTCTGCCACCAAGACTCGGAAGTCTTTACTATATGATTGGGGACCAAGATTTGAGTTAAAATAACAAGTTTTGGGGAGAGGGGGTCTGGGGTTTCAAGACTGGTTAGACTGAAAGCCTGGATTTGGAGCCTAAGGGGCAGGGCCTCTGGGTACATCCTAGGCCCATGGCAGTACCTGAGTCCTGGGCAGGGCACAGGGCACAGTCCATGCCCCAGGCTTCCCCATAGAGGCAGCAGCATTCTGTGTAGGTGGCCTGACGATCTAGCCGAGGGCGACTGCAAACCAGGTCAGGTCCCACTTCCTGCCAGCACACGCCCAGATTGTCATCTGTGGGTGGTCACAGATCAAGGCGGATCAGGTGATGGATCAGGGCAGACTGGTACTGGGACCTCCCAAAGGCTGAGCCCCTCCCTTACCGGAGCCCAGCCACCTTCTGCCTATCAGTAAATCCTCATTAGCTGTGGTGTGCCTCTCAGAAACCCTGAGGATTAAGGAAAGGCTTGTTCTTGCATGAGGCTGTCATATAGGAGGAGAGGGCCAAAAAAGAGGGCCAAGGATTGGGAGATGGGGTCTGAGAAGGCTGTACCCAAGCCCAGGCTCCTCAGGGCTTTTCGATGCCAGGGCAGTTGCTTTCCTTCTCTGGGCATTGTTTCGTTTGTTTGGTTTGTTTGTTTTGAGGCAGGGTCTTGTTATGTGGCCCAGCTTGGCCTTGAACTCAAACTCTGGAATCCTTCTACGTTAGCCTCCTGAGTGCTGGGATTAAAGGCACACACCATCATGCCCAGCACAGTTTGGTTAAATTTTTTTTTTTTTTTGTGGTACTGGGGTTTGAACTCAGGGCCTACACCTTGAGACACCAGCCCTTTTTTTATGATGGGTTTTTTTGAGATAGGGTATTGTGGAACTATTTGTCCAGACTGGCTCCTCAATCCTCCTGATCTCTGCCTCCTGAGTAGCTAGGATTACAGGTTTGAGCCACTGGCGCCCAGCTTGGGCAATGTTTGTGTTTGAATGAAGTCTGGGTTTTGAAGATGTTGTAGGAATAGGAAATGGGAAAAGAGAGTTTGGGCCAGAGGCAAAAACAGAGTATGCTGGTGACTCAAGAAAGATGGACAGAAACCTACAGAGAGGGGGGAAGTCAGATAGAGACGAAAACCAGACTAAGAAAGGACCCAAAGAAACAGATACAAACACATCAAAAAGTCAAAGACTCAAAGAAAACAGGAAAACAAAGATATAGAAAGAATGGAGAGAAGCAGAGACCTAGAAACAAAGAGATCAAAGAGTGTCAGAAATTCAGGAAAAAACCAAAAGAGACAAGTAGCAATCAGCCAGGCACCGGTGAGACATGCCTGTTATCCTAGCTACTTGAGAGGCTGAGATTAGGAGGATAGTGGTTTGAGGCCAGCAGGGGTCAAATAGCTCTCCAGACCCTAACTCGAAAATACCCAACACCAAAAAGGGCTTGCAGAGTGGCTCAAGTGGCAGAGTGCCTACCTAGCAAGTGTGAGACCTTTAGTTCAAACCCCAGTACTGCCAACACCCCCTCAAAAAACTAAAGTGGCAATTGTTGAGTACCTGATAAAAGTAGGCTCCATTTTGTCCTTATAAAAAAAATTCCAGGGGCTGAGGCTATAGCTCAGAGTGTGTGCTTTGTATAAGGTTCTGACTTCAATCCTCAGCACCAAAAAACAAAATAAAAATTCCACCCTATAGGGGCTGTGTAAGAGGGAAGCTAGGGCCTTGCATGGTGGTACATGCCTGTAATCCCAGTACTCAGGAGACTGAGGCAGAAGTATGACAAATTCCAGGCCAGCATGGAATGCATAGGAAGACTATCTCAAAAAATAAATAACAATGTGTGTGGAGGGAAGGCTGGGGTCCAAGAGGAGACCTTGCAATGTGCACATGGACACACAGCCAGTAAGTGGCAGATTGCCTCTAAAACCTTCACCTTTAACCAGCTGACATCTCAGGGATGAAAGATAAGGAGACAGACTCTGGGGCCCCAGGGGGCGTGGCCTTTGCCAGATGCCCGGGGGGTGTGGCCCTTCTCGAAGGCGTGGCCCGGATGCGAGCTTGAGGCTGAGCCAAAGGAGGGAGCGCCTGGGGGTTGTGGGCGGGGGATAGGGCGGGACATAAAAGCTGGGGGCGGACTTAGGGGGCGGGGTTACCGAGGCTCTGGCTCTCATTGGACACGCAGCGGCGCCGAGAGCCGTCCAGCACGAGTGGGGGCTCGCATGTGCAGTGATAGGAGCCCACCGTGTTGACGCAGCGGCCGCCCTCGCAAGCTGGCTCCTCGTCAGCGCACTCGTCGTTATCTAGGGCGGCACGGAGGGCGTGTCTAAGCAGCCCTCCTCCCCTTCCCATTTCTCTCCCCAGCCCATTGACAGTGTGATAGATGGCGTCTAGACTCCAGGAAGGACTTCCCGCCGTGATTGCCACATTCCTGGCGTGGCCAGGGTTTGGAGAGAGTCAGGGGGAGGATGGTGGAGGTGGGGCCCATACCAACGCACTCCAGCCGCTGTGCATGGTAGTAGTAGCCATTGCTGCAATAACACGAGTAGCCTGGGGCTGTGTTCACGCACACGCCGCTCTTGCACACCTGGTCTCGGAAGAGCTGGCATTCGTCCACATCTGCGGGATGGGTGGAGAGAGATGGGGACAGGTCAGGCTGTGGGGTGGGCTGCATGAAGGGAGTGAGTGACAGCAGGTGTGCATGACCAGAGAGGAGGTAGACAGACTCAGGAAACACAGATTGGGGTACAGTGGAGGAGAGTTAAGGAGAGAAAGAAACAGAGATAAAGAAGACAGGAAAAGACAGAGAGGGTGAGACAGAGTTAAGCCTGGGGGTTGAGGGTGGGTAGAGGTTGAAGTCTGGTCTCACCTCTCCGGAGGCTCAGGTCTCCACTGGGCGCCAGATAGCCCCGGCCATGGGGGCACAACGACTGGTACTCAACTGCACACAGAGACAAGGCTGGGTCCAGATCCTCAAGTCCCAGCCACATCCCTGGGCCCTGGGCCAACCTGTATTTGCCCCCAGTCTAAGTCCTTGGCCCCTTGCCTGTCAGTGCTCAGCTCTCACCCACCTGGTAGCTGGTAGCTTGCTTTTGCCCTGCCAGCACCGGTAGCTCAGCCCTATGTCCAACCCAAACCCTCCGCCCTGCGTCCAGCCACAGCCCACACCCACCAGTCTCAGTGCTTGGGCACTGCTGGATTCTGCAGCCGCTGCCCCAGCCCTCGCCCACAGTACAGCAGCATTCCTGCCATGTCACGTTCCGTGCCAGGATGTTGTCACATGCATCCGGGGCCGCTGTGTCAAAGTAGCACTCCCGGCGCCCGCTGCCCACAGGACCCTGCCTGGGTGTGCTGGGCCGGCCAGGTAGGGGAGGCGGGGGTGGCCTGGCCGGCAGACTGGGGCTGGCAGGTGCCTGGGGCTGAGAGCCCGGTAAGGTGCCTGGGGAAATAAGGAGCTTTAGCTCAGTGTGGGTTGAGCCCCCAGCTCTCCCATGTCATAGATGGTGCTCTCCCAGAGGGCACCAGCCATGAATAGCAGAACCATACTTCACACTTCTCATCCCTATGTCATTACCTTTCTATCACTTTCCCCTCCTGTCACTTCTGCAGAGTTTGTCTCACCATCTCACCCTTTTCCAGATGCCCCCCACTCATCACTCAGCTACAGTTTAGGTGGGTGACAGACCATTTCCATGGCCTCCTGCAGCCACCCTGGGTTGTCACACTCAGAGTGTCCCAAACTGACTGAGTCTTCTTCCCCAATCTAGGTTTTGTACTGGACACATCTCCCCACCCAGGCAGCCCTACCCATGGCCTCTTGAGATTTCTCCCACCTTTTCTCCCTCACCTCCCAGGGTAGTATCCTCTTTGGTCCCTGCCCCAGCCTGCTCCCTAGGCTCCCAGCCTCTAGTGTCACCCTCTCCAATCACTTCCAATATGGCAGCTAAGGGAGAGTTCAAAACTGGTTTTACAACTGTCCTGCTTAAATCTCTTCCATGGGCTGGTGGAGTGGCTCAAGTAGTAAGAGCACCTACCTAAGCAAGCGTGAAGCCCTGAGTTCAAACCTCAGTGCCGCAAAAAAAAAAAACTTCCATGAAAACTTGGGGCATAGCTCAAGTGGTAGAGCACTTGCCTGGCTTGTGCACAAGGCGCTGGGTTCCATCCCCAGTACCACAGAAACGAAAACAAACTCAAACCTTTCTATAGTACCACATGCCCTGGGTCAAAGTCCTCCGGTGACACGCGTTAGGACGTGTGGCACCTGTCATCGTCTCGGCCTCAACTCTCCCCACCCCTTGTTTTCTAAACCATGCTGTGGCAAACTGATTTCAGCTTCTCAAACGGGCCAGATACTCTCTTGCCTTGCCAGGCCTTTGTTTCGCTCTTCTGGGTTCTCTGCCTAGAATGCCCCCTCCCACACTTCGCCAGCTCACGCTACTGCTCTCAGTGCACACTGTCCCCTACCGGAAATCCTCCCTCGTCCTCTTCGCAGGCTGGCCCAGGCACCTCTTCCAAAGCCCTCTAGATTTTCCTCTCACAGCCAGGTTCCCTCTGGCCTTGCTTCCTCCCTCCTCTTAATTTCTCTGGATTGTCACTAGCTGGTGACATCTCTGCTCCATTAGATTTTGTTTTGGTTTGGTTTTGGCTGTACTGAGGTTTGAACTCGGGGCCTTGCATGCATGTACCCAAGACAAGTGCTCTACCTATTGAGCCACACTCACAGCCCCTTTGTTTTGATGGTTTTTTGTTTTTGGGATAGGGTCTCACTAGCTTTTCCTGGGCTGGCCTGGAACCACAATCCTTCTGCCTCTGCCCCCTGAGTAACTGGGATTACAGAGTTTTTTTCTTTCTTTCTTTTTTCTTTTTGGAGACAGAGTCTCGCTATGTAGCTTAGGCTGACCTCATACTCCTACCTCAGTCTAGTGCTGGGGTTACAGGAGTGAGTCAATATGCCCAGCTCCCCGCTGGATTTTGAGGCTGTTAAAGATAGACTTCCCTGGTCACTATTGTGTCCCCAGTGCCCAAAATAAGGTCAGAACTGGTATTTTTTTTTTTTTTTGGTGGTACTGGGACTTGAACTCAGGGCCTTATGCTTGCTAAACTTGCTAGGCAGGCACTCTACCACTTGAGCCACTCTGCCAGCCCCAAATGAAGGAATCTGGTAGAGTCAGAGAGTCAGGGTTAGCCTGAAAGAGTCCTAATACCCATGTTAAGCTACACATTCTAAAGTTTCTTGTTTTTGTTTCTTTTTTTTAAAAAAACAATAGCATTTAATGAGGGCAGCTGTCCACATCGAGAACGATCAAGCCACATCATTTTCCTGCAGGGCCAGCGGCCATCAGTTAAATAAACACGTCATTCTCACCAACAGAAGTCCGCGGGGGCACACAGCGTCCAGTCATGGGGTCAAACTCCTCAGGGCTGGTGGGGCAGAGGCACAGGAAGGAGCCTTCAACGTTCTCACACAGGGCAGTTCCGCACACACCCTGTAGTGTTTCACACTCATTCACGTCTGTGAGCAGGAGAGAACGGGAGGGAGACCGTGGCTGTAATCTTCTGTAATTCCTCAAGTCTGAAGAGCTGAACTTTTCTTTCTTTCTTTTTTTTTTTATTATTCATATGTGCATACAAGGCTTGGGTCATTTCTCCCCCCTGCCCCCACCCCCTCCCTTAGCACCCGCTCCGCCCCCTTGAACTTTTCTAATATACTGGTTATTTTTAATGGCCCAGACCCCATGCTCCACTTTTCTTCTGGTAACAAACCCTAGCCTTCCCTTGGGAATTCTTTGCTCCTTCAATTTCAAGCCATGTGTTTTGGGAAGGGCTGAATGTGTTCTGGGGAAGAACCAATCAGATTCCTTCATTTCTTTGCTTCAGAGATAGGACACTGGGTCAATCAAAGCCAGACTTGGAACTTTTGTTACAAACATTGAAAAAGAGCCTTTCTCTTTAGCTCTAGGACTGCCAAGCTGAGGCTGTTATTCCTGACATGCTAGGGTCACCCTTATCACTGAAAAGAGGGTCTGTCTAAAAGTAAATCCAACAGAGGGAAAGTAGAACCTAGGGGGAGACAGAGAGAGCTTCGTTATAATTCTTGAATCCAGTTAAACCTAAAGTTCAAATATGTCTGAGGACACTGCAGTTTTAGTTCCCTTTTAAGAAATTAAGCCTATTTAGGGCCAGGCATGGTGATGCTCGCCTTTAATCCCAGCTATATAGGAGGCAGAGATAGGAAGATCTCTGAGGCCTGCCCTGGGCAAAAAGTGCAAGGCTCCATCCGAAAAACAAGTGAAAGCACAAAGGACTAGAGGTGTGGCTCAAAGGGTAGAGTGCCTGCTTGCTAGGCACCAAGGTCCTGAGTTCAAAACTCCCATACTGCCTCTCTCCACCCCACCCACACACAAAAAAAGAAAACCTGATGCAGGCTAAGGATATAGCTCAGTGGTAGAGCAATTGCCTAACATGTGCAAGGTTCAATCGCAAGCACCAAAAAAAAAAAAAAAAAAAAAAAGTTTATAGTTATTACTAAGTAGCATTTACTGTATACCAGGCTATATGCCTTACATTTATTAGGCTGAGTATGGTGGTGCATTTCTGTAATCCTAGCTTCAGGAAGCTGAGGTTAGCCTGGGCTACATATTGAGACCCTGTTTCCAAGAAAACAAAAAGCTAATCCTAGGTACTTGAGAGGCAGCCAGCTGGGGAATAGTTACCAAGACTGACCCTCTCCCAAAAACAAAATGCAAAACAAAGGGGCTAGAGATATAGCTCAAGTGGTAGAGTGAGGGGCCCTGGATTCAACCCTCGTATTGCAAAAAACAGAGAAAACAAAGAAAAGAGAAAAAGAAGTAAAGCCTGTTACATTTGCATTTATGAAAATGTACAGAATGTGAAACTGAAGACTCATGCACTTTGCTATATTGTAAATTGAACTTCAAATTAAAATATTACAAGAAAAAAAATAAACAAAATATTGCAGGGCTGGTGGAGTGGCTCAAGGAGTAAGAGCACCTGCCTAGCAAGTACAAAGCCCTGAGTTCAAACCCCAGTGCTGTCAAAAAAAAAAAGGAAAGAAAAATATTATAAACACATATTGAACTTTAGTAAATGATATGCACACTGAGGAAAAAGATCATAAGAAAATCTAGATGACAGGTACGCAGGTGTTCACCCTACAATTCTCTCAATTTGCTGTATGTTCAGAATTTTTCTATAACTTGTTGGGGAAAGTTTTTTTTCTTTTTCTTTTTTTGGTGGTACTAGGGCTTGAACTCAGGGCCTCATGTTTGACAAGTGCTCTTGAGCCACACCCTCAGTCCTTTTGCTTTTGTGTCTTTCAGGTACAGTCTTACACTTTTGCCTGGATGGGCCCTGGGCCTCAACCCTCCTACCTCTGCTCCTGCTTCTGACTAGCTGAGATTACAGGCGTGCACCACCTCACCCAAAAAAAAGCCCACAATTTATGTATTTTTTTAAATATGGAACGCATCACAAATTTGTGTGTCATCCTTGTGCAGGGGCCATGCTAATCTCTGTATTGTGTCAATTTTAGTATATGTGCTATGGAAGCCAGCACCAAACAAAAAGGAAAAAGAAAGAAAAAATTTAAAAGCCCCTACACAAAAAATGAAATACAAATGAGTAAGGTTTCTGTCATTTGCCACTAAAACAGTTCTTACTGATAGGGAGTTGACCTTATATTCCAAAATAAGGTGGCTCACGCCTATAATCCTAGTTACTTGGGAAGTAGAAATGGGATCAAGGTTCCAGGCTAGCCCAGGCAAAAAAGTTCAAAAGACCCAATCTCAACAATAAAAGCTGGCAGTGGTGGAGCCGCCTGTCATCCCAGCTACCTGGCAAGGTAAATAGGAGGATAACATGATGCCCTACTCAAAAGCCAAAAGGGCTAGAGGCACAGCGCCAGTGGCTCACGCCTGTAATTCTAGCTACTCAGGAGGCAGAGATCAGGAGGATCAGGGTTGGAAGCCAGCTGGGCCAAATAGTTTGTGAGACCCTATGGCAAAATGAGTCAACACAAAAAGGGCTGGAAGAGTAGCTCAAACAGTAAGAGCGCCTGCCTAGCAAGTGTGAAGCCCTGAGTTCAAAAACTCCAGTACTGCCAAAAAAAATAAAAATAAAAATAAACTACAACCCTAAAGTTCACATTTCTTCAGTTGTATGGAAAAGGGCCTGACACCCATCTCTCTCCCATCTGGCCCCACCCACCCGTGGAGCCCCGTACCCACGCAGTGACGCCCATCTCTTGCCCCCTCGTAGCCCTGGTCACAGAGACATTGGAAGGCGCCAGGCAGGTTCTGGCACACAGCATGGGCACCGCAGAAGGACCGGTTCCGGCATTCGTCCACATCTGCAACCATCAGACAGTCAGGGCATTTCTGGAACTTCCACCCCCTCCACACCTCACCCACTACCTGATGGACACCCACCTTGGCATCCACCCCCTGGTGTGGGCTGATAGCCGGGGTCACAGGCTGGAGTACAGCGGTAGGAGCCAGGGGTGTTCTCACAGCGCTGAGCTCCACAAATCACCGCACCATATTCTTGGCATTCATCCACATCTGCAAGAGAGTGAGGAGGGGAAACTATTTGCAGAGGCTGGCCTCAAACTGCGATCCTCCTGATCTCAGCCTCCCAAGTAGCTAGGATTACAGGTGTGAGCCATCGGCACCAGGTTCTATTTTCCTTCTTTTTTCTCGTGTGTGTGTGTGTGTGGAGGGGGGGGTAATACTGAGGTTTGAAATCAGAGCTTCATGTTCATGAGGCAAGCACTGTTTAAGCCACTCCATCACTCTTTTTTGTGTTGGGTATTTTCCAGATAGGGTCTTTCCCACTATCTGCCAGGCCTGGCTTCAAACTACAATCCTCCAGATCTCTGCCTCCTGGATAGCTAGGATTACAGGCGTGATCCACTGGTGTCTGCTCTATTTTCCTTCTGAAACTTAACATTGTTATTTTTCTTTTTATTTGTTTTGGGGGCACTGGGGTTTGAACTCAGGACCTCACCTTTGCTATGCAGGTGCTCTTGCATAGCACTTGATCCACACCCCTAGCCTCTGACATTATATTGTATCCACATATTTATTGGAATGCCCACTGTCGCCTTTCTAGAATGCAAACTCCAGGACAACAGAGATTTGTCTGCCCTGCTCTTCACTGTATCCTCAAGGAATAGGACACACAGTAAGGGTCCCCATATTATTTATTGACTGAATCTTGAACTTATTCACATAGTTACTGTCTGCCCCCTCCTCCACAACCAAAAGTTAATTCTAGGGGGGCACAGGTTTCATTTGGCTCATTTCCTGTTGTGCCCAGTGTGTAGCACATAGTAGGTGCTTAAAGACAATGGTGGCTTATTTCCACGATAGTGCTAAGGTGGGAGGGGAAAGGTTCCTTGGTTGGGGGCCCTTTCCCTTCCTCGAAGACGGTGAGGCAGGGCGTCCCTTCTTGGTACCCAAAGGAGCAGACTTCAACAAACCATTGTGGGGACTGAGGTAGGGGTTTGTCTCACCGTCACAGGTGCCCTCGGGGCCCGCGTGGTAGCCAGGATCGCAGTCCTGGACACAGCGGTAGGAGCCGGGGGAATTCTCACAGCGCTGGGACCCGCACAGGGCTGGGCCCCGCTCTCGACATTCGTCAATGTCTGAGGAAAGAGGCAGAGGAGTCGGATGGTGGGAGCCGAAGGAGGCAAGGAGGGGGCAGGAGAGGAGAGTCAAAAGGGATAGGCGGGGAAATCAGAGGAGAGGAGAAGAGGGTAGGAAAGGGGGGATGGAGAGGCAGGGAAAGTAGCGTGGAAAAGGCAGGGCTGGGAGGCCAACAAAGGACAATGGGGGGGGCGGAAAAGAGAGGGGGAGAAGGATCAGGCTGGGGCGGGGCCTCTCACCAAGGCAGGAGGCCAGGTCAGGGCCGGCGCGGTGTCCGGGAGGGCAGACGCATTCGAAGGAGCCATCAGTGTTGGTGCAGATGCCGCTCTGGCAAAGGTCCTCCTCGCTGCACTCGTCCACATCTGCAGGACCGGGTGTCGGAACATCCCAAGCCACGCCCCTCCACTGCCCTTGAACGCCCGAACCCACCTGCCTTATGTCCCGCCCTTCCCTGCAAGCCCCGCCCCTAGGGCTTTAGGATTGGTCCTTTCCAACGATCTAGACAACGTCCCCAAGGACCTGCTCCTCCTTCGTCCGCACCGTCACTCCTGGAAGTCCCGCCCCCATCCTGGGGAAGGCAGGGAGACCCTTGCCAAAAATTGGGAGTCCCCATTCCGCCCTCTTTTTTCCCCGCCTTTTCCTGCTATGAGCCCACCCTTTCCGCGTGCAGGCCCAGCCTAGCTACCGACCAAGGCAGGATGCTCCGCGGGGTCCGGGCCGGTAGCCGGGGGCACAAGTACAGGCAAAGGAGCCGTCGGTGTTGAGGCACTCGCCGTGGGGGAAGCAGAAATCACCTTCCAGACACTCATTTATGTCTAGGGTTCGAAAGAGTTAGGACTGGGTTGCGTGGTCCCCTGACCCGACAACCCAGACCCAAGTCACGCCCACAAAGTCTTACTCTGGTCCCCAAACCACATGCCCGATAACCCGTGCCTAGGTTCCTCCCATAGCCCGCTTAGTCCAATTTCCACTTCCCCAGCGGGTTTTGCTCAGGAACCCAGGTCCTACTCCCAGGCGCTCCAGCTGGTCACAGTCCTGCTCACCCGAGCAAGGTCCGGGCCGACCCGACGGTGCTCGGTAGCCCGTCGCGCAGCTGCACCGGTAGGAGCCTTCCGTGTTCGTGCAGTGGCCGTGGAGACCGCAGGGGGCGCCTGAACTGCACTCGTCCACATCTGTGGAGTTAGAGGAGTCAGAATGGGGTCGGTGTAGGGACACTGGCCACATCCTTTTGGAGGAGAGGCGTCTGGGAGAGGTGATGGAAAGTGTCTTTAGTAAAAGATCCAGTTCTACCCAGATGTAGGTACAGGTTCCCTGGTTCTGGGGGGTGGGGGGAGTTGGGAGTCCTGTGGGTGTCTGGGAATTCCCTGTGCTGGGATCCTGGGGTCATGGGAAGGGATTCCGGATTGGGACAAGGATCAGAAATTAACTAGGATAAAGGGTATTATAAGCATTATAAACTAGTATCATTGAATGGGATTCTGCTGGATAAATGGGTCAGTGTCAGTAACTGGAATCTGAGACCAGTTAGGGTCAGAGGTTAAGTCAAGAGTTCTGCCTGAAGTCAGGGATCCAGATCAGGGACCATGAGCCCAGTTAGGTTCTGAGGAAGGGATTCCGAGAAGAGACAGGGGCAGGAGAAGAGATAGGATCAAAGGTTGGGGTTGTGAGCAAGGTTATGGTTAGGGTCAAATGTCACAAACTCAAAGGTCATAGGCCACGTTCAGGGCCAGGGGACAGCGAGGGTTAAGAGAGCCGCAATTGCTGTCAAGAGCTGTGATCAGGGGTTATCAACAAAGCTCATGGTTAGAATCAAATGTCACAGTCAAGTTGCATGTTCATGGGTCACAGAGTCAGGAGTCACATTCAGGGTCACAAATTACAGACCAGGTCAAGGACTGCAGTCTGGGTCAGAGGTCAGTCTGGGTCAGAGGTCAGTCTGGGTCAGAGGTCTGTGGTCTGGTCAGAAGTTACAGTCAGGTTAGGGGAGTTACGGTCCAGAGGTCCAGGTGAGGAGTTTTTGGGTCAGGTCAGGGTTTTGGACCAGGTCAAGAGTCACAATCATGATGCACGTCCCAGGTCACAGCTAGGAACCTAGTCTCACCAGTGCATCTGCCACGGTGCAGGTGGTGGCCAGCAGGGCAGGCCCTGCACTGGAAGGATCCAGGTGAGTTCACACACTCCTGCCCAGGACACGCCAGATGGTTCTCACACTCATCCACATCTGAGGATCAGAGGAAAGGAAGGCTTTGAAGTAACAGACCATCACCCCCTCACCCATCCACACTCCTCCCTCCCTCCCCGGCCTCACCCTCGCACTCGGAGCCGGCAGCGTTCGGTTGGAAGCCTGTGGGGCAGACACACTGGAAGCTGCCTTCTGTGTTCTCACACCGGCCATAGGCGCAGGGCGAGGGGATACGGGCACACTCATCCACATCTGGGCCAAAGGGGACCAGTCAGGCTGAGGAACGGGCCTAGAGCCTTCCTTATTGCCATCCTCACCCATTCCAACATTCCAGTTTTGAGCCAGCCTCCTGGGCTTTGCCAGGCTGTCCTCTACTCCCAGGAGAACAAAATCATTCCTTGTTTGCCCATTTCACTGTCTCTCCAGCTGCTAGAATGGCTAAGACTTTACATCCCTCATGTTGCCTTCCCTCTCCTCTGGGTCCCCACAAACAAAGGGAGAAGGAATGGGAGTGCTCGCATTTTGGAGAAAGGGGAGAAGACTGGAGTGAGTGCCTCTGGCCTTGGTCACTGTGCCCGATACTAGGCCTCTCTGCAACCCCCTTGCCCCCCACCATTCCCAATAATGTCTCTCCAGTACCCACAGAAAGTCGCGGTGCCGCAGGGTTGGACCCAGCACCCTCACCTTGGCAGGGGGCCCCCGGTCCTCTGGAGCGGAAGCCAGCAGGGCAGGCACAGTGAAAGGAGCCAGCCGTGTTGTCACAGCGGCCTGGCCCGCAGGGTGGTGGCTCCTGGGCACACTCATCCACATCCTCTTCACACGCCGAGCCCCGGAAACCAGCCGGGCAAACACAGCGGAAAGAGCCCGGCAGGTTCTCGCAGACCCCGCGGCCACATAGGCCTGGGCTCTGGGTGCACTCATCCACATCTGCGGGGGCAAGAGGAGCCTGGCTCCTTTATCACTCCCCCCTCCCATGCTCCACTTTGACTTTCCACCCTCCATCCTTCCGCCTCCGTGCATGTCCCTGGCATTTTTACTCTCTCCATCCGCCACCAATCTCTGGTTGGCTCCTAGAACTTTCTAGTCCCTATGAGTCCGGCTCCTTCTCTGTCCTCTTTAACTTGGCCCCATTCCCAGTTACTGGCATCTCCATCCCTCCTCACTCTGCTCCTCCATCCTCCATGAGTCAGCCTTTCTGTTCCTCATCACTTGGCATCTCCATAGTCACTCTATAGTCAAGAGACCCCACACGTCTGGTTTTCAGAATCTGATCTCTGTCTCCCATCAGTCAGCCTTCCTTTTACCCCATTGCTTAGTCTCTCTTCACTCCTCATCCCTGCCCCTCTGCTCTTCTCCAGTGTCCCCTCCCAGGCCCTCACCCTGGCAGCTGGCTCCGTGCGGTGCAGCCTGGTACCCAGCGGGGCACACGCACAGGAAGCTGCCTGGCGTGTTTTCGCAGCGCCCGCGGTCACACGGCGGCGGCACGCGGTGGCACTCGTCCACGTCTGTGGGCAGAACCCGGCGGCTGTGGGACTGTGGCAGACAGTCCCGGGAGAGACCAGGCGGGGCGGGAGTAGGGGGGCAGGGCAGGGGCGGGGCTAAATGGGGCGGGGCCACACTGGGACTGAATCTCTGGGCGGGGCTCGAAGCGGGTAGGCTTAAAGCGAAGAGGGACATCGCCCGGAAGGAGGCGGAGATGAAGACCGTGAGAGGAAGGCACTCTGGAGGACAGGGCAAGGGCGGGAAGGGAGGATACGACGACCCAGCAAAGAAAAGAAAAGCAAGGAACGGGGCTAAAGAAGGAAGGGGCAGTTTGGGACGGGGATCTGATATGGCAGGTATGGAATCAGGGATCCTGGTCATTTTGTAAAACAGAGGAGGGCCTGGGAGGTAGTCTGCGACCAGGAAGAGGAGGGGGCAATGGAGAGGCGGAGCCAGGACGTGGTCTGGGGGAAGGCAACTGGAAAGCCGGACCTCCGGAAAAAGAACGGCCAGCCTGGGGACAGGGTGGGGGTGGGGTGGGGGGTGGGGGGGTGGAGCCATGGGAAAGCTGGGGCTGGGGCTCCGGCCAGAGAAAGACGGAGCAGCAGTAGGGTTGGACCTGTGTGGGGAAGGGAAAGAAGGCCGGAGGGGCTCTGGAACCAGAGTGGCAAGACCCAGGCCGTGAGTGGCCTGGAGCCTGACCGGGCAGATTTCTCACCCAGGCACTCCGAAGCCCTCGGGCCGGCTCGGAATCCCGGGCCGCACACGCAGCGGAAGCTGCCTGGTATGTTCTCGCAGCGCCCAGGAGTACAAGGCTGGGGCACACGGCGACATTCATCCACATCTGGAGGACACGGAGGGGACTGGTCACAAAATGACTAGGCAGATCTCCCGACCCCAGCTCCACTCACGCCCTCTGCCCAGCTCACCGATGCAGCGGGTACCCTGGGGACTAAGCCGGAAACCAGAGTCGCAGGCACAGGTGTAGCCACTGGGCCGGGGTATGCAGCGTCCCGGGCCACAGATCTGGGGGTTGCGCTGACACACACCCAAGGAAGGACCTGGGGGACCCAATCAGCGGGGTTTCCCCAACTCTGAACTTTTTGTCCTTTGCATCCTAATACACTCCCCTCAGGTCCTCCGCCTAGTACACCTTCATCGATGTCCCTCCCCTCCCCAAGCCCAGTGAGGGTTCTCATCATATCTATCTGAATCTGCTCACAATAACACTATATATATGCTCCATACTCCGGAGACGTCTCATGGAAACCTCATGACAATCCCATTTTAACAGAATGAGAAACTGAGTCTCAGAGAATTTAAATAGCTTGCTCAATTAACAGAGAATTTGAGCCCAATTCCAACTGATCTAACTACCACCCAACCCTATTCCACATTCTATTCCCACCATATTCCACTTTCTATTCCATATTCCTGTTTGATATTTCCTGGAATCTTTACCTTGGACCCTCTACCTCCAGACCTCACCTGTGCTACCCCCATCAACACCCTCAATCCTCTACTGCACCTGATTCAGGAATCTCAGGACCAGTCCAAGCAGGGATGCTGGGTGGGGGAAGGTCAGGGCCAGGCCGAGGCTCCGGATGTGGCTCCGGATGACGGGTGGGCAGAAAGCCTGGTAAGGAAAGAGTACCAAGATCTGAATTTGAGTGTCCCTGCTCCTCTCCTCAATTCTCTATGGAGCTGGAGCAGCCCCTCTAGAGGCCAGCTCACCTGTGGGTGGCCGAGGGGTGGCTGGTGGAGCACGTGGCTGGCTGAGAGACACTCGAGGTGGCTCTTGACTTAGGGGTCTGGTGTTGTATCGGAGGTCAGAGGCTGAGTAGTGGTAGCCAGGGCCAGCGGGGCAGATCTCCCGAAAACCCTCTGGGAATAAGACAGGGAGAGGGGCAGCAAGAAGGTGAAATGCGAGGCGAGTCGGGGGGAGATCTAGAGGCGGGTCAGGGCTTGGCCTGAGAATATGTGAGGGGTTTCACTTGGATGCTGGGGTAGTGTGGTGCCCAGGACGTCTTAGAGACTAAAAGTGGGGCCACGAGTTTTTCCCCATTTGTCATGATGGCAGGGACTGGGGTTGAGGGCAGGGGCTAATTTGAGTTGGGGGGCAGGAACAGCGCGGTGGTGGGGCTTAGACTAGGCATTGTGCCAGGGAGGGGTGTGTCTGGGGTGGGGCCTAAAGGATTAGCCTAACCTGAAGGCGGAGTCTTAGGAGCTGGTACCTTAACCAAAACTCTGGGACAGGGATGCCTGTTTCAGGGGCTGTAGGTGACACACGGGAGACACAACCTAACTTCAGGGTGGTGCGTCTCAGAAGTGGGTGTGGTTAAGGATGAAGGTGAAGCCCAGGGTGGAGTCTGAGGCTAGCGGGTCTCAGAGGCTTGGGGGCGTGGTCAAGGCTAGAACCCCATCTGGGTTAGAGGGCTGTGAGCCTCAGAGGCAGAGGGAGGGGTTTAGACTGAGCCTCAGTGCGTCGCAGTTAGGGAGGAATAGGTACGCAGGAGGCGCTCACCTGAGCCAAAAGGTGGGCAGAGCTGGCAGCCTCGGCCCCAAGCCTTGCCCACCCGGCTACAGCAACAGATCTGTTTGGTGATGTTGCGCAGAATGGGCAAGGAGCAGCCTCCATCGCGAAGCACGCGGAAGCAGGGGCCCTTCGCCTCTGAGATCACGTGTTGGGCTGGGGGACAGGGAGGACATTCTTCAGGGCGGGGTGGTTGTGCAGCGGGCCTGAGGGATCTGGGAGGTAGGAGAATGGTCCCAGAGAGGGTTTGATAGGTGTGAGCAGTATTGGGGGGTAGGTATGAGGGAATTAAGGGTTCTGGGATGCTCTGGGATGACGTTTGGGGTCAGGGTGGGCTTGAGACCCAGCAGCCTCGGTCCCCTCCCAGAGGCTCACAGATGCAGCTGCTGCGGGATGAGTCGAGCAGGAAGCCATCAGGGCACACACATGTGTACCCGCCGCGTGTGTTGGCACACTCCCCATGCTGGCAGCGCCCACCTGTTGCGCACTCATCCACATCTATGAGGGTTGGGAAAGTCACCGTAGAATCAGGGATTCCATCCCTTGCCAGCCCACCCCTAGAGCTAATCCCCTGCCTCCCCTACTCCTCCTCACCTACACAGGATCCATTAACCCTCTCAAAGCCAGTCGGACACGGTCCATCTGGGCTACCTGCTCGGTTGGAGTTCCCTGTGGAGAGAGGAGAGGGGTGGGCCAGGAACGGATGAGTGGAGAGAGAAGTGGGAGAGGACAAAGGTGGGATGGGAGGGTGGCTTGAATGCAAGGTCAGCCCTTCACTGGCCTAAGTGAAGGTAATTTTGAAGCCTCCAGAAGTGCATGGATATGACCAAGGCCACAAAGACAGGTTGAGAGCTCAGAGTGTCCAAAATCAGAAAATAGGATGGGTGGTTCCAGAGTCATGTAGATAGATCTAAACTAGAAAGAATCCGTCTAACAGGGTAGGCCTAGCTAGAAACGGGTTTATCTATGAGGAGAGGAAGAGGAAAGGCGAGGTTCTCGTCCCTCCCCGGCTTCCAGGATCTCAGGGACGATCTGGGGCTTACCCAGGTGCTCCGAGCACGGCTGACAGTCGTGAACGCCCCAGGCCAAGCCGTCCCCTCCGCAGCAAACATCCTGCGTCCTGAGCCCGGGTAGCGGCGATGCACACTGTGGGGAAGTGTTGGGTGAGCGCGCCCGTGCGCGGTGGTACGCTCCGGACCCCTCCCCACGGGCCTACTCTCACTTCGCTTTCGCGCAGCTCCCGAAAGCAGTAACCGAAGCCCGAGGCGTCTGAGTAGCCGTCCTCGCGTGGCGCGCTCTGTGCCAACACCGTATAGGGCGCTGCCGCCTCTGCCCGTGCTGCCGCCTCAGCCCTGGCCACAGCCTCGGGGTCTGCCTCCTCCCAAGGCCCGGACACACGCTCCACCTGGTGCACTATCACCGATGCCTCCTGTGGGTGCTCCACGTGCACGCTCACCATAGACGCCACGCCTGACGGGAGGCAGGATGGGCAAAGGGATGTCTACAAGGGTTCTTATGGGCTGGTACTAGAAATGAGAGGAAGGGCGAGTTGGGGAAGAGTACTCGAAAAAGCCAAGCTTGAGGTCTGAGGAGCAGTGAGATGGTTGACAGATTGGAAGGGACTTCGGCCATACTCTTCTCACCGTGTTCGTCGTCGCGGTGGTTGGCCAGCGGCATAGTGTACACGGAGCGGGTAAGACCTGGCATGGCTGGGACCGGGGGCCTGGCACCAGAAGAGTGCAACTGGCAGAACTTGCCAGCGAAGTCCGGGGGACAGAGGCAACGGTCAGGCTTCATGCACACACCGCCGTTGTGACAGATCAAGGGACATAGGACTGAAGGGAAAACGAGGACACGCAAGGTCAGCACCATGCCTGGCAAGCACCCTTCCGGCCAACCCATCCAAACTAGGCCAGTCCCCAGCTCTGTAAGTAGGGCCTCAAGGTAGCACTCATTTGACATAGCTGTCTTGTAGCCCCGCCCAATTCGGGTCATTTGCATCGGCAGTGGTTCAGCCTTCTATGATACAGCCCCGCCCCCTAAATGGGCTCTTCATTCACTTCCTGTCACCTGCTTACTTCTGGAGTCCCGCGGATTCCACTTTCTTCCTGAGTACGCGGCGTTTCAGCCTCGCCCAGACAATGCTGTCCCCGCCCATTGGCTCGGCCCCCTCCATTCTGGCTCTTCCCTTAGCTTTTAGCCTTGCCGATGAATTCACCCCCCTTCCAAATCTGTGTTGTGCCGGTTCACACTCACTCTGAGCCAGTCCACCACGTCCCAGCTCCGCCCACTGGCCATGCGCCCCTTTCTAGGTCACCCCACAACGCCTTCTACCCGCCGGATTCCTAACTCCTAACCAAAGCGTCTAACCTGTCGCCTTTAACCCCGCCCATCCCTTTCCTCACTCTTGTTGGCTTTCCGTCACTCACGCCCCTCCCACTCTACCTTGTAGCTAGCTGAGACTATTCGCCCCGCCCACCACATCAATCTCCGCCCACTTCCCCTGAGACTGGCTCCAGAGTTCTTGCCCTCCCTTCCCGCCTCCGGTAGCTCCCGGGCGGGGCAACTAGCGGGAACGAGCCTCCTCTCCCCTCTGCGCGCCCTCCCTGGGCCCCAGGCCACCTCTGGGCGGGGCACTGCCAGCTGTGCGGCGGGGTAAACAAAGAGAGGGGTGCGGCGGGGGCAGGGCGGTGGCTCGACATTCCGGACCCTTGGGGAGCCCCGGGACCGCTGAGCCAAAGGAGGCCGGACGTGTCTTTCGAGGGCACCCCCTCCCTTTCTCTCCCGGGGCTGCAGAAAACAGCTGGAGACAGCTGTGCAGAGGGGAGGGAGGGGGCAGACGGCGGGGGCTGTCCTGGGACGCGTGTGTGGGATTCTGAGACACAACTGTAAGAAAGAAAGCACAGAAGAAAGCCACCTCAATTTACAAGGGTCAGGGGACAGGAGTCCTGGGAGACCAGCTAAAGGGCAGTACTCTGGGGTTCAAAGAGAGCTCAAGGTTTCTAGCACAGAGTGGGAGGCTAGCTCAGAGGAAACCAAGAGTCTTTCAAGTCCTTTTGGAGAGTTACCTAGAAAACAGGACTCTAGTGTTTTCCCGGGGGGGAGGGGGTGACCCATTTGAGAGTGGTGAGAACAGAGTTTAAATGGAGAAGTGGAATTCCTGGAAGTTTCCAGCACATAAGATCCTTAACTAGCTGGGCCCCCGAGACACTGTAGAAACCCCCTTTCCTCCCATCTGAGAGATTAGGGGCCCCAAAATTTTTGATTAATGGCTGCCTTTGGTGGGGGGATTAGCACAATTTGTAGTGTCCTCTTGGGAGAATCCACTGATGTGATCGAGAACAACTCTGGGGTTCTCTGAAGATGGGTGGGATCTACAGGTCCTGGGAGGAGGTCAGCTGGAAAAGCAGTACTTAGAGAGACAGGAATCTCTGTGAGACCAGGAAGCATCCCTTGGAAATATGAGAAAACTCAGCCTTGTGTGAGATAAGAATTCAGTGGAGTTATTGGTGTTTAAGGCTTGTAGTCTAGGGTTTCTCCTGGAAGTGGGGAGAGATAGCCATGGGATAATCCTAGAGTTCTCCAAGGAGGGGCATAGTTCGGGGTGGGGGATTATCTCAAAAGACTGAGAGCCAACTCCACTGGAGGAGTCCCTCTCTGGAGTCTGTTGACAAGAGTGGAGAGGGAGCTTGGAGGTGTAGGGGCAGAAACTCTGAGCTCCCAGCTTAGGTGAAACAGACCAGGACTCCAGGTACTCTAATGGGAGTCCTGGAATAGCAGGGTCTGAGAGGCTTAACTAGGAAGCAAGATTCAAAAACGGGAAGGGTCTCTGACTGGGGCGCTGGGAAACTGACCAGGTCTAGGGGCATTTCCCAGCTTCAGAAGGCATTTCTTGCCTTCTCTTGGCCTAAGTGTTTGCTCCCAGCCCAGCGCCCTGAGGGTGCCCACACCAGGGCTTGCCACTAGATAGATGGGCAAGGCCAACTCCTTGTCCCACCCCCCTGGAGGAACAGGGAGCTGAGGACATGGGGTCCCTCCGAGGTCAGTCCTCCTTCACATGCCCCTCCTTGTGCCTCCAGGGGCTTGGCACCCGCCTGGGCACGGCGCCTGGCACGGGCGCGTTGGGGCGGGGCCGGGAGGGAGTGAAGGAAGGAGGGAGGAAGGGGAGGAGAGAGGGAGTGGCAGCAGGCGGGGGCTCAAGAGGGAGATGAGCTCACGCCGGCCCGGGTTGGGCTGGCTGGGGGCCAGGCTGGGCGAGTTCTTGGCGCCAGGGGCCCCCACTCCCCACTCCGGAGGGCCTGAGGGGTGGGGGGCAGGGAGAACCGACCCCCGAAGAGCCCGCTCATCCCCGCACTCTAGGACAACAGGTGGCGTGCCCTCTCCACCTCACCTGAACCCGGGAGGGCTCCCCATGTTTTGGGGTGTCGCAGCGCGCTCTCCTTCGGTTCCCTCCGCCCCCAGGGGGCGCCCCTTCCCCAGGCCTCCTATCTGGATTTCTGTCGCACGTGGGGCTCCTGCAACTCAGGTCGTGCAGAGAGACACCCCCTCCCCCTTTCTCTGAACCCTGGAACTCTTAGCTCTCCTTATCCCTAGCCCTCACATGCAATCGCAGGTTGGACTCTTCTAATCCCTACCACCCAAAGACACTGAAACTGAGGCATCGCTCCACACTGCCCTGAAATTCTCCCTCTGTCCCTGGGGACCCATTACGCAGAGACTCAGAATTTAGGCCCCCTTCCCAGAAGTTCCCAGGCCCCTCAATTCTGAGATTCCCATTTTGACTGAAAGGCATGAAAGCCGGCCCCTCACGTGGGACACCACAAGTCCCTGAAAACTTGCAAAATCGGGACCCTCAGAACCCACTCCCCAAACCAGGAATTAGGAGCACCCTTCTTTACCCCAGAAACTCCCCAGCACTACTGCACTTGGAATCTGGGCTCCTTCTCCCAGGGGGATTGTCTCCCTCATCTCCGGGGGCCCTCCTCCCTCTGGGTACCCCTCCCTCGGGAGCATCATCCCGCACTCACAGGCGCGGAAGCCGGGTCCCCCCGGGGCCGCCCCGCCGGGCGCTCCGCTGTCCACGCTGGTGGCGTTGCGGGGCGCGCATGTCGGGGTACAGCGGGAGCCAGTGGGCCCATGGATGCAGCGCAGGCCACACACGGCCGGGGTGAAGCGCACGCGGAGACGCTCTCGAGGCCGGCCCAGCCCGGGCTGCGGCGCGAGCTGCGCCAACAGCACCAATAGCGACACCCAGAGCAGCCGCGCGCCGCCCGCCATGGCTGCAGCGCTGCGCTCCGCCGCGCCGCCGCCCCAGCCCGCCCGAGGGGCCCGGCCGCGCCCGCCCGCCCGCGGGGGAGGGCGGCCGCGCCCCCGCTCAGGCCCCCCCCTCCCCACCACTCCCTCCCCGGCGGCCGCGCGGGGGCGCGTGGGGCTGGGCGCCTAGCCAGAGGCGCGAAGGCTGGGCGCTAGACTCGCAGGGGAAGGGGGGGCGCCCCCTCTGCCCCCACTCGCGCTCCAACAAGTGGATGGGGCCTGCAAGGGGTAAAGGGAACAGGTGGGGGCGGGAGGGTTTCCCCCCAGACAGAGCTAAATCCATTAAGAGGAAATTCATAAAGTGTAGTGGAGGCCGCATTTGGGGAGATGACTAAAGGCTGATCTGCCTAGGCTCAGAGAAAGGGTTTCATCTAGATAAGGAGCTATTATCGTACATCTGAGCAGCCAGGTGACACATGTGGGGAGAGGAGAAGGGTCGTTACACATGGGCACATGAAGGAAATAGGGGGGCTGGATCCTGGAGAGGAGCCTATCAGGGACACACTTGAAAATGCAGCCACACCCGCCCACTACTCCCCACACCTGGCGGGAGACCTCAGATGGATAAAGGGAAAGGATGGATTAAGGTTGTGGGCGAGGGTCCTCACATCTGGATCTGGGAACCATCTGGAAGACTTTAAGAAGGAGGGGACTCGTGGGCTGAAGGCCGCAGACGGAAGGGGACTTTTGAGGTTGATTCAGTATGAGTGTGTTCTAGTCTGGAGGTCGGGAGCTGGAGTAGGACAGTAGGGGCAGGGAAGGGTCAGGCAAGCAGTGAGCGGGGAAAGCGTTCAGCCCCCAGCCGGCCGGCAATTTTGGGCACTAGGTGCCAGAGCAGGCGCCAACCGGCACAATCGCTTTTGTTGTCTGGGCTGGTTCAGCCTCGTTCTCTGCTGGGCCAGCACCCCCCTCTTCGGCGGCGGGAGCCCGGACGCCTGGCTTCCCGGCCCCACCCCAACGGGTCAGCGCCTCTGGCCTGCGTCTAGTTCTGTCCCTGGCTCACCTCACACAGCTGGATGCCCAGATCCCTAGAGGTGGCCGCTTCCTGGGGGTTTGGGGTGGGCTAAGCTACAGTGAGGGGCGGGTAGGCAGCGGCTGGACCGTGGGAACCAGACGGCTTTATCAGGCCAGGAACCCCCCACCTCCCAGGCGGAGGAAAGGCGGATGTTCTTACCCCGGGCCTGGCCGGCAGGGGCGCGATGTGGGGGCCTCCTTTTCAGTAGTGCCCGGCCCCCAGGCCCTCTGGGCCGCCGTCGCCTCAGCAGAGCACGGGCCTCCTGTAGTCTGGGTGGGAGGGGCCAAAAAACGACTGTCACCTCAGTTAAGTTGACATTTCCCACCCCTTAGGAAAGGGTCCCCCATGCCATGAGGTCTTCCAGTAGCGGCTTCTCACAGCCACTAACCACCCCCCAATCCCTTATGTGAACAGGCTTTGAGTGGCCTTTAGACACTTGCCGGAAAAAAAACAAAGCCTTGGAAGAAACAGAAGAGCAAGAGAGGAGAGAAGAGGAGAAGAAGGGAAGGAGAGGAGAGGACAGGAGAGGAGAAGCAGGGAGGAGGCAAAACTATGAGAGAAACAGAAAGACATGGGACATGAAGACAGAAACAGAGATAGAGACCCACAGACTGAGCCAGACAGGGAAAAGGAATAGAAACATTGGTACAGGCAAAAAGAGAGAGAGAGAAAGAGAGAGAGAATGGTGGCAAAGCTAGGTGACCCTCAGGGAGGATCTGGTAGGGGAGGGATCACACACTTACGTCAGCGGCTGCCAGTTGAGGGACACCTGTCTCTTCGTCAGGCTGGGGCTGGGGCTTGGCACTGGAGGTGCTGGGGTCAGGCACCGCTGGGGACCTGTACACTTTTCAGGTGGGCAGCTTCGGACCCTGCAGGAGGCTTCAGAGACAGCCAGGGGCTAAGTGGGGAAGGAGGGGACTGAGTCTCTTTCTCATCCAGTGCATTCAGCTTTCCAGTTGGGATGGAAGCTGGGGTAGGGAGCCCCCAGCCCTTCTTCTCCTACCCCCTTTCACCCCCGACCTCTACTCGACCTGGAAAAACCCACCTCGTATGCATCGGCTCCTCCTAGGTGTCTGGCCTAGGCAGCAGCGACAGGCAGCAACGCTATATAAATAGGGGGCGGAAGTCACTCAGGCCCCTAGAACCCCAGAACTCCCCAAAGGAGGGCAAGACAAAGCTTAAAGAATCTCCAAACAGGTATGTGACTATCTTGAGGCACATCTCTGCATACCTCAGTTTCCCCATCTGCACAATGGGAGGAGACAAATTGGCTTAGATTTTCCAGGAGTAAAGGCCACAAAAAACTTACTATTATGAGTCTTATGAAGTAGGTTGGTGGTAAGGTTTTATTGGAAAAGATATTTTAATCTGTATATATATATATATATATATATATTTTTTTTTTTTTAATATTCAAAGAAGGTTTCTAAGTGCATTTCCAAGCCCCCACTGTCTGGGGTGTAGAACTCCGCCCCCCCGCTCCGCCCTGTCCGAGACTCAGCAGCCATCCTGCTCATGGTCGACAGGTGGCGCCACGTCCACAGACCTCAATGGCTGGGCACAGCGGCATTCCCTTTGACTGTAGGTCCCACAGGGTGCTGAGGTGGAAGGGGATACTGAAGTCCAGGAATGCGAATCCCGAGGCCTGAGTTCTAGCCCGTTCCTGCCCTTCCACGCTGTATGTCCTGGGGCCAGCGACTCCTGGTCGTTGGGCCTCAGTTTCCTGCCTGACCAGGAGGAAGGGCTCTTTCCTGGAGACATCCCCGCGCCCAGAGGGTCTCGGCGGCCGAGCCTTCAGCTCCAGCGCAAGTGCGTCGCAACCCAGGGGCCCCCCAGACAAATCCATTATCCCCAGGTTGGGGGGGGATGCGAAAGATGAGGTGCGCTCTCAGACCCCGAGAGAAGAGCAGTGGAGGATGCTAAGGCAGGGTCATCCAATGCGTGACCCATCTCAGACCAGTGGGCCCCAGTGGGAGAGGAAACCTCCCTGGGGAAAGTTTCCGAGACCCCCGATCCTGTCGTTATCCCTCCCGCTTTTGCTCTGGGTTAACCCCTTCCCGGCCCCGCCCCCGGCGCGGCTCGGGTTACTAAATGCATTCGCAGAGACCGAGGCGGGAGCTGAGCCCGGGGCCTTTGTAACGGAGCGCAGGGCCGCGGGGAGGGGGGTGGGGGTGCTAGGCAGACTGTTTTCTTCGATCTCGTCACCCGTGGGTGTGGAGGAGGGATAGAGCCCCCAAATCTGTAGGACATTCTGCATCTTTCGCCACGAAATCACTGGTAACTCATTCAATCGTAGATTCCTCTAACTCTAAAAAACTAGAGCGTCCCCAAATCTCATAAAACCTGAGGAACCCTCCCCCCTGTCCCCGATTACCCCCGTCTCTATGCCTCCTAATTTATTAGAAAAAAAATACCTTTTTAATTAACCCAGCACCCCTAGAAATCAAGGACATCTCAACTCTTACGTAAAGGTCCTTCCAGAACCTTTCAATACCTTTCTTGAGCACTCAAGAAACTTGGGGAACTCCATCCTAGCGCTAGGGCCCCACCCATCTCTATCATTCTAGAACTTAAAGCCCCACCTATCAGCTGGGTATCTTTTCCCACTAAACCCCCGAATTCTCTGGAGTCTTATTCATCTCCACCGTACTGGGATGGGGTGAGGGGGGGTCTCCTTTCCTTTCAAAGTCTCAGTATTTCTCTGATTTTAACCCCTACAAAATAGTGACCCCCTAAAAGATCCAAGAGCCCTGGCTATTTCATTCTCCCACCGAAGAAGTGGGTTCGTATTTCCCTAAATTCCGAAAGTCCTGGTCCTCCCGGACCATCAGACTTATTAAGTGGAAGGTGCACCAGGAGGAAGGGGCTGCAGCGGGGCTTACCCGGCCGGGCGGCCCAGATCCCCCGCGACCTCGATGGCCTGGCTGGGGCTGGGGCTGGGACTGGGGCCGGTGGCGGAGGCGGCGGCTGCGAGGAGCAGCAGTAGCAGCATCAGGAGGGGGCGGCGGCCGCTGGGGCCAGGCTGCCGCATCGTGTCTGGCGCGGAGTCCGGCTCCGGACAGGAGGTCTGTCCAGCGGGTCCGGCTCTGCCCGGCCCAGCCCCGCCCCCTCCCCCGCCCCCGCCGGAGGCCGACTCACTTTCTCCACTGTCCAAGCCGGGACTGCGAACTTCCCGCCAATCAGAGCCCTGCGCTGCCTGCGCTCCCCATGTGGCCAATCGGGCGGCGTCAGGGGCGGGGCTAGATGGACAGGTGCGGGGCGGGGGACCCTTAGGAGCCTGGAGTTCTCCAGGCAGTGGAAGGAAACCTGGAATCAGGTTCTGATCCCGTGAACCCTCTTGTGAAGCAGAGGCCCTAAGTGAGGGGAGGCTTACAACCTGGAAGAATGTGCAGGGTGGGGTAGGGTCCCCTGTGCTAGATTCCGGCTGGCAAGCCTCATCCCTTGCTCACAGTTCTGGGAAATTTCTGTCAGAATTTAGGTCTCTGGCTGGTGGACCTTCCCCCCCCCGCCCATGGTGCCCATTCCCACTGGAGGGACTAAAGATTCTGAGGACGGGATGGGCATGGTGATGCACGCCTATAATTCCAGCACTCGAGAGGCTGAGGCAGGAGGAGCTCTAATTCCAGGCCAACCTGGGCTACATAGTGAGATCCTGACACCCTGCAACCCCCCCCCCCAAAAAAAGAACAACAACAAAAAAAGATTATGAGGCATACAATGCTAAATCCTGCTCCAGGTCCAGGTCCCGCCCCTCCGAAGGTCCCAGGCCCACATTAGGCCTTCCCAAAGGATTTGGACCCAAGGCTCTGTCCTACATCGTTCCAGGATCACCATCCGCAAAAGCTTGTTCCTCTTAAATTCTGCCCTTTGGTGGACCCAGGCTCCGCCCGTGACCCACGGACGGGTTCCCAGCCTCCTTCTGCTCCACTCTCTGCTACCATCCCTAGAAGATACCAGACCTCCTTCCTTGCTTGAACCTTTAGTCTCAAAAAAGCACCCTCCCGTCCCCCGAATAATAGACTTTCTCCTTAGAAAGTTCATGTCTCCTTTCCTAAGGACCGCCGTGGTCAACAGCCCTAGGCTACAGGGGATCTAAAACCCCATTCACACCCCTTTAGTTGGTTCTAGGCTCTAAGCCCAGCTCCAAAATCAGATGATCTCAAGACAATTCCTTCCCTTCCTTATAAATTCAACTTAAAGCCCTTTTCTCAGACTCACAAGCCCCGCCTTTCTTCTCCAACGGCACCGCCTCCAGGGCTTCAGACCCCGCCCCTTAGTCATCTCCTTTTCTGAGCAGAAACCCATAGGCCTTCCCAGACAGAACTGGAATACAGTTCCACACGTAGGATCCCACACCACACCCCTTCCATGTTTGCTCTGCTTCTGGGTTCCCGGCCCATCTCTCTGCAGTTTGGTGCTTGAAGTTTTCCTTTCTATAGCGTAAGCCCCGCCCCCAAAGGCACAGAGGTTCTGTCCACACAGGCTACGAGGGCCACAGGCCCTCAATGCAGGGTCCACTCAGACCAAATTCCTGCTTTTCTGATGGAAGGTGTACAAGATGGACCCTTTTTCCCTCCCTTGCAGTGAGATACACGGATGACTCACACAGCCACACTCACACCGTTAGTGCCACCTACAGCAATCCACACCTCCGTCCCACACTGACACCTAGAAATCTGGGACCACCCCACCATCCAGGGACACACAGCCCCCTGGAGCAGTAACAATGACACTCATATCTCATTCACAGCCATTCGTGGGCTGACCCAGTGCAATGATGGAGTGCCTGGTTCTGTCCACTAAATATGCTCTGGCCTCTGCCTTTATAAGGCTTCAAAAATCCCTGTTCACATGGCCTTGCAGGACACTGTGTCCCTCACCCGTTTCCCCTCTCCCCACATCCTACCCTGTGGCTGGAGCATTTGCTGGGGGCGCTGGCGAAATTTCTCCCTTCTGCCTGGGATCCAGGGCATCTTCAATGCTCGTTGCTAGGCAACAGCCTTGGGCTCACCACTGCAACTTCCGGGGATGGTATCGGCTTCCCTTCCCCCCAGAATTTGGAGTCCTTTCTCATCTCCTGGGATCTATTTATCCCTAGATCCTGATCTGATCCCAACTCTTCAGAAACCCTCGGAGTTCTAGACCCCTGGCACTCCCCATCATTCTCCCCTCCACAGTCTTATCCTTAGTATTATTTTAAGAAAGAAAGAAAGGAAGGAAGGAAAGGTAGAAAAGGAAGGAAAGGAAGGAAGGAAGAAAGAAAGAAAGAAAGAAACACCAGCCGGGCGCTGGTGGCTCATGCCTGTAATCCTAGCTACTCAGGAGACAGAGATCAGGAGAATCATGGTTTGAAGCCAGCCTGGGCAAGTAGTTTGTGAGACTCCAATCTCGGAAAAAAAAAATTACAAAAAAAAGGGATGGTGGAGTGGTTGAAAGTGTAGGCCCTGAGTTCAAATCCCAGTACTGCAAAAAGAAAGAAAAAGGAAACACCAACCCTTCAGCATTCTAGATTTAACAAGACTCCATCTTTCTCTATTACTTCTAGAATCATGAGCATTCTAGATACAAGAGATCTCTGGCATGGAAAAATGACCTCAATATTCTAGATGTCAGACCATTATACAATATCCACATATTCTAGATTTCCAACACTTTAGCCCTCCTACCCCACTCTTTCCAGAATCTCCATCAGTTATACTTCTCCCAGTATTTTGAGTGTCCCAGAGTGTTTCATTTTGCTTTGTTTTGTTTAAATTCCATGGCTGGGGATGTAGCTAGTGGCAGAGCACTTGCCTAGCATGCATGAGGCCCTGGGTTCCATCCAAAACCCTCCCAAGAGTTTGAGATTCACAGGTATTCCGGAACACCCAACTTTTAGAATCACTCACCTTTTAGGTCTCCCATTTATTCTAGATTATCTGAAAATCAAGAATCCCATACCAGCCATTCATGGTGCTACTGCCACCTACGGCAACCCACACCTCCATTCCATGTTAGAAATCTGGGTTTTCCCACCATCCAGGGACACATAGCCCCCTAGAGCAGTAAGGATGCCACTGTAATTCAAGCTACTTGAGAAGTGGAGACAGGAGGATGGAGGTTCGTGGCCAGTCTCAGGAAAAAGCTTTAGCTTATCTGAAAAAAATAGCTAAAGCAGAAAGGACTGGATACGTGGCTCAAGTAGTAGAGTGCCTGCCTAGCAAGCATGAGGTCCTGAGTTCAAACCCCAGTACCACCAAAAAAAAAAAAAAAGAACATGCTATTATGAATTTCTTAGAATGCAAACAAATGCCCTGCTGCTCTGGAAGGACAGAAAGCCCAGACTCCCCTTCTCTGTATGTCCCAGAATCCAGATTCCTTTCTGCCTCTCATAATTCTTAGCAATTCAGAAATTATGGCATGCAAAATATTCCTACTAGCAGAGATTCACAGGTATTCGATGACTGTCTCCCATTCCAGAATCAGTGGTTTTTCCAGGTCTTTTTTATCAGAAATATCTACATCTGGATTCTCTAATATGCAGAGGAGAATCCTAATATTGCTAATCCACTGATATTCCAGAATAGCCCTGGGTTCTAGATTCCCTAGCATTCTGGACCCTCTGCACACCCTGGCATCTCAGAAACTAGGATTCTGGAATTAGCATACTCTAAAAACCCTTGCTCCTAGTCTGGCCAACTTCCTCTCCTCCTCATTGGCCAAAGTTAAAGATGAAGAAAACTTCTCTGAAAAAGTGCCAGAGAAGCAGGCATGATTTGGAGAAAACCCCCAAAGGCAGCAGCCTAAAGCCAGTGGCATGTCCCCACACAGGAAAGGGGTGAGGGGCTGGGCAAAGAGTTTGCAATGGCGAAGTTTAGGTACAAATAAATGTTAAAGATGAGCCAATCACTTAGTCAACACCTGGGCTTCTGCCTACCTGCAGTCATTCACCCTGCTGGAAGTAACAGTTCCCTAATTCTGTCTTCAGGAACTGCTCTTCTACTCTGTCTGCACGGGGCTGACCTCACCTCCTAGCTCATGAGGGCTCACAACCTCATCACCCTGTCCATAGTGAATGGCTCAGGACAGTCATATGACTCAACTAAAGCCTGTAAGAACTACTCCTGTGATTTTTGCTGCTGCTAGAAAGAAAAAAAAAGTTAAGGAGCTTCCTGGAATTATCTTGCCACTCAGAGGAGAAAACCTTTGCATCCAAGAGGAAAGCAAAGGTATGAGATGGAAAGACATTCTGGACGAGTATTTGCACCCCTGGATCCGGCCATGCCTGAAGCCAGAATGTAAGTCAATACATTTCTTTGCTAAAACCAGGAGGGGCCAAATATTCCCAAATTTACAGCAGGAACCTGATTGGGTCCCATATCTCCCCCATCCCTTCCCTGGGGATCCCAAAACCTACTAAGAATGCAAACAAGGTATTGGCAGTGAGGATTTTATTGGGGTGACTTTGGCTTCCAGAAAAGGGAAAAGATGGAGGCCTGGTAACAATGACCACTTCAAGGAGGCCCTGGCCCTGAACCCAGGGCTCCAACAGAAAGCAGGGAGGCACCTGAGTCCCCTGGAATCAGGGTATCCAAAGGCACCATGGCAGCTGTGTTCAAAAGGAAGTTTTATTGAAGCTTTTCTTGGGAGGCATGAGGGGAGCCCCGAGGCCAGTGGAGGGCCGAGGGGCTGGTGTTGGTGGCCGACGGGGCTCTGGAGCACTCCGTACCAGTTCCTGGCATCGTTCCACGAAGCTGCCTCCCACTCGGCGCCGGGCCTCCGCCTGTGGGGGGCTGGGGCTCCCATGACGGCCAGTCAGGGAGGTGTTACTGGAGGCTGAGTAGAGACTGAAGTGGGGGGGTGTCACTAACCTACTAGCATCATGGGCCAGGCGGCCACCCCTTCCACAAGGCCTGGGGGCTGTTCCTCAGAATGGGGACCGGAGCCGCAGCTACCTGGTGAGAGAGGTCCGGGGTGAGGGGCTAGGGAGAGAGCCCCGAGAGGAAGCCAGCAGGGCCAGCTCACACTGCTCCAACTGTCCCATCAGTTCTT